TATGATGGAAACAAAAATCGGAAAGGAAATATGGTTAGCTGATTCCTCAGTTTTAAAGACGATGCGTTTGTGTAGCCAAGAAACATATCTATTGGGGTAGAACAATTATTTTTGGAATCTGATCGGTTGCGCTATTTGTGCTTAGATTGGCTTAGAAAATCATGGTCGTTTATCGCATGAAGAGAAGAAGAAGAGAAAGTTATCGCCACTCGGTTATGATTAAATTCAAAATGAAGTTGGAATTTGTAGAGATTTTTATTCTGTAGTGACAAGGTTGTTATATATTCCAGGAAACATGTTTCAAAATGTATTGAGCATAATTTATAACTGTAAATCAGGTTTCTAGAGAAATATAAATCTTGGCAAAGTGAAATAAAAATCTGGTCAGCAGTCGAACCACCGGGAACCCGGTGGTCACTGGTTCTAATCCAGACGCTGTCCAAATTTTCATTTCACCTTGAGTCATGACCTAGTATAAATCTTAAGTGTATTATAAGTACGTTTTAATGAAAAGCTTATACACAACGATAACTTTTTATTTTGGCAGTATTTCGAACAAAATTACTGCCCATGGTCCCACCAACAGACGGAATATGTTAATAATATTTTGCTCGATATATAAGTGAAATAAAAGCTTATCACTTTGAGTAGACTTTTCACTAAAATATTACTTATAATACATTCTGCATTCCAGAATGCACGAAATTTTCATATACAAATTTAAATTTCAACATATTCTGATGAATAATAGACTGGATGGTTTTGAAAAACTTGGGAATACACCACTAGCTGTAATTTTAAGGATAATGTTGATGATGAACTGGTAATTCAGCTTCGGTTGTTCTCAACTAAAACCCTTACCAACTGTGTAATTACGCTCGTATGGACAAATCTTAAAATATCTTTCTGTCATTCCCCTTCAAAACATTTTATTGAGAGTGGATTTGTTGTTAAAGGTAAGGTATGGCAGCGGGGGAACTATTTTATTTCAGCTGTGATTAAGGGAGAACATTATTTAATTTCCTATGCTTCAAAGAAGCGATAGTGCAAACGAAGTTTTGCTGTTACCGACTAACTGCAGAAAATGGGCTTCTGATTACTGTGTAAGTATTTAATATTTCGTACATGAGGGAAAATATAAGGATTTTTGATGAGCCTTTCAATCATGCCTAACAGTTTCATAAAGTAACGTGACTTCACTCCTTACATTTTTTGTATCTGGTAAATGCCTGGATTCCATCGAGAACTTTCCTAGTTGACGAAAGCAGTCTTCCAAAATGGAGCAGATCAACTGCACAGGTCACACCATAGGTGCATTGTTGTTTGACAGTGAAGATGTTGTTTTTCGAACCAATTAACTGATAGGATGTGAATGTTAAAAACTCAAATATGTTGCGGTTAATCTCTGTGTGATATCTTCTTAACTGACAGCCAATACGATGAGGTAAATTTTTCACATCAATGTTGTAAACTGGTTTTGAATCATAACAACAGATTGTTTACTGATCTATGTGGTTCACAGTGAACTTCAGAAATTCACAAATATCACTATTACAGATAATATGACGTTTATAAGAACTAGTGATTTCCATGAAATTCCTAAATACAGTTTCATTGGTCAACTAGAAACTTATTACAAGATGAACACACTAACGTGATGACAACTTTATTGAATTGCCGTTACCACCATTCCAAAGTTTTATATGAGGCTGGAATAGGTTACCTCAAGTAACATTTTAGTTTCATCCTATACGTAAACTTTAGATGACTATCATGAAAAATTTTGACTGATAATAAAATATTACTGTGAATTTTCAAGGCTGAAGATAATTGACTGAGGTCATTTTAACAAATCTTTTGTTAACATTCATCTCTCCATACATTTGGATATTCGGATAAGAACATATCATTTAATATGCATACAATGAACACTACTCATAAGAATATTGTAAAATATTTAGGCAGCTTAGTAATCAAATGTAACAGCAGTGAGTGGTGTTTACTAAGGTTTCAACAATTATAAAACATCAAACCGCATTTGGTTATCTATTAGGTCATAATGGCGTATTTGCGGGAAACCATGTTCGAATATGTATTGCTGACATCTATCCAGAAATGCAGTCGCTGCGTAAGCCTTATGCTTCATCATTTGGCAGTGCCGTGGTTTCTACGCTGGGTGCGGACAGATTTTATCCCTGCTTAACCCAATAAATGAAGTAAAAGTTAATAATTCTCACATTCTCGACTTTCGACTCAATCATTATAAGAGTATATTGTACTGTAATCCCAGCGTGCTTAGAAATGGGAACAAATTTTCTCTGAACATTTCGCCGTGTAATCCACAGCTTCTTCAGTAAAACGTTCCAAATAGACTAGATTGTATTGCATCATACTTTGATAATGATGAAAAGAAACTCTGTGCTCAACTTGTTCCAGCACATTCGTTACGACATTATCTTCATGGTTAAAACTTATCCGTTGATTGTATTGCTCTTTGTCTTTCCTACTCACGGGTCTTCTTTTAAACATGAGCCACCTAGTACCAAAGTAGGAATAATCGTCAACTTTTCTTCTGATGCCGAAAATAAAT